TAGGGAAATGCATCAAATCACAGCAATGGTTGAATGAGATGTGCATGCAGCGATATGATCAAGATAAACATGGTTCTTGCTGCTCAATCAATCTCACCCTAATGCACAAGAGAATCTAAAAACAGGGCACTCAAGAAATCGCAAAAGATGGACAAGTTTTCAAAGTCAAATCAACAATGCAAGTGAAAAATGCAATCCTAAACAAGTCTAGCAAATATGAATGCAAAAAGATGAAAATATTTTTGGATTTTTTGAAAATTTTATGATTTTTTTTGGTTTTTCTATGCAAAAGATGAATGAAAAACTAAGAACAAAGAAAACAAGGTTAAATCATCTCTTGAACCCTCCCCCAAACTTAAATCACACAGTCCCTTGTGTGAGAAAAATTTAGTGAAAGATTCAAGAGGGCAAAACCAAGAAAAAAACAAAGCAAAGAAAATATGAAATGGTATTACAAGGGATTGGTGTTTGGATACCTCAGTGCCCCCCAAAGAACTGGGAGGCAGGTCGTGGTCTGGAGATGGTAGACGGCCGTCAGGAGCACTCCATCGACTGGGTTCGCTCACTCGATCTTGGCTCCTCTTCTTCCTCTTCTTCATTGAAGTGTGTGTGGCTCCCTTGGCCTTGGTGGAGCATGGCTAGCTCGTACTGTCCATAGGGGTTCCATCTACTGGGGTCTCCTGGTAAGGCGTTGGATCGTATTCAAATCCGGATCCTCAAACTGGGGCTCCTCCACCAACTCGACCGTCAGCTCGATCGAGTTGAGTTTCCTCTGTTTGGACTCGATCGAGTCCGGTGGTCGAGCTGGAGCGTCTGGCCTTAGAGCTCTTCCTCCTTCTCTGTGTTGTCTTCTCCCTCCCTTGGCTCGAAAGAAGAGGCTCTGTGAGGCTCTTGGGCAGGGAGCCTCCTTGGGTGGTGAGGAGTGATCTACTCCTAAGGAATGTGGGGCCATGGGCCTTCTTCTTCTTGCTTGAAGAACCAGAAACTTCTTCTCCAAACTTTTGATCTTGCTCACCATCTTGTCCATGGACTTTTGCATCTTCTCAATGGCTTTCCCTTGCCATTTGTTGAACTTTTGGAGAAGTCCAATCCTCTTGTGGGCAGCCACAACAGAGGGGTTCATCCTTGGAGCCTCATACTCCTCAAAGTAATAGCACTCAGGCTCACCCAAATCCGCACTCTCCTGGACTTGATCCTCAGCTCGAGACTCAGCTCGATCGAGCTCAGAGCTCCTCTTCTCGCAAATCATCCTCATGCCCAACTAATGTGTACACAGGGGGTCTGAAATCAATGTTCTCACCCCTTACTACTGTGGTGAGCTCTGGGTTAGGCAGGAGAAGCTTGGAGGGCCAACCAATGGATGGTGAACTTGAATTGGAACTCCCATCCAACTCCTTGTGCTCAATGAGAAGGTTGGTCTTGCAAAACTTGATGTCCATCCAACCTGGTTCAGTGGCTCTCCTATCAGTTGGGTTCACTCCAGCAGCACACAAGATAGGAGTGATGAGCCCTCCAATACTTAGGCGCCTTCCCTCGTTGATGTCTAGTGTTGTAGGCTGTGATCTTGTAGGTGAGGAGATGGTCAAGGAAAGGCATCAAGTTCCCTGTGTCAGATCTATCTCCCCTGATCCTCTTGCCATCGCTTGTGCGTGAGAGAATGGGCTTGATTCCCATGTCAAGAAACTTGAGTTCCCCCTCGTTGATGTCCCGGTCGCCTTCCTTGCAAAGAAGGTGTTGGCAAGTGCCTTGTGCACATATCTCAAGACTGGGCTCCTGATTTGAGCTGCCTTGGACCTTGAGGAAGAGTACACTCCATCAGCGATTGTAGCCCAAACCCTTTGGAGTTCCTTTTCCTTGAAGTTCCACTTGGTCCTTCTCCATAGTTGAACCCAAACAAGATCTCCAACTGCCTAAAGGTCACCATTCTCTTCTCTCCCTTAGCCAAGAACGTGATCCATCCCAATCCTTGGTCCAAATCAGCTCTATCTTCCTCTTCATACATGTGGTACCTCATTGAAGCTAAGAACTCGCAAGTGAGCTCCTTGTAGGATTCCATGTGATAAGAGAAGAGCTTGGCCAAGTGCATGTTCTTGAGAACCAGCTCCACATCTTCAAAGATTCCAAGGGCCTTCATTGTGTCAACATGTGGGTACTTGGTATCCATGAAGTCCATGGAGAAGAGGGCATTGTAGTGCTCTTGGTACATAGGGAGTTCTTCTTCCTCCTCTTGTGGCTCAACCTCCTCCATAGGTTCATCTTGGTTACTTCTTGCTCACTCTCATCAACCAATTGATTCACCTCTTCTCCTTCCTCTTCACTCTCAGTCTCATCACTTCCTTCTTCACTTGGAGAACCATTTCCCTCCTCTTGAACAAGGTTCACTCCAATCTCAAACTCCCCTTGCTCACTCTCACTACTAATGGGGTCATTCCTCTTCTTGGTTCTCCTTTCCTCCCTCAATCTCTCACTCTCAGACTCTTCCTCAGAGTACACATATCCTCTGCATCAGACTCTTCCATCCTTGAGTCATCCTCTCCAAATCGGCTTGCATCTTAAGCCTTCTTTCCCTTGCATTGCTTGATTCACCCTCAACCATTCTCCTTTGTGAAGGCGACTTCCCTCACTGTTTGTCATCTCTGTTACACTGTTTCTTCACTAAAGTACCTGAAATGCATCAAAGATTACAAAGAATTAGAGTTGCAATGATCGGTTTGGTCAACTCGACACCAGCTCGATCGAGTCAAAAAACTCGAGTGACAAACTCGATCGAGCTAGGTGAAAACAGAGTATAACCGAACCTAATTCAAGTATTAAGAGCTGGAAAGGATGCTAATCAATCAAATTGAACCAAGAACAACTAGTAAATGGAACAATGAGCAATTCTAGTGAACACTAAGCATCTTAACCAATACCAAACTCAAATTCAATGTTTCAAGCACATGCAACAAGTTCTTAATAGTGAAACAGAGGTGAGGTGAGGCAAATTCGAAAAATTATGAGCAGGAGAAAGATATGAAGCAATTACTCAAGAGCAATCCCATAAGGGGCACATGCAATCAAAAATCAAAGAGGAAACAAGCAATAATGGAAATCGAGATGGAGGAAACAAGGGTTTTAGGGTTCATACCTTGCTTGAATGATGAATTAAGAACAGTAAGCTAACCCAAACGAAAAACAATGAAGAACAAGAGAAATCGCAAAAACTTAAGAGAGAAAGATTGAAATTCGAAATTTTCTTGTGGTGAAGAGAGAGAGAGATGGTTTCAGAAATTTTAGTGTGGGAGAGTGGGAGAGGTGGATTCGATCGAGTTATGGGGAAGAGGGAGTGTTTGAGATGTGTGGTTGAGATTAAAAGGTGAATAAAGGGGGGAACAAAAGCTAGGGTTTTTCTGATCAATTCAGGAAGTGGGGGACCAAAATTAACTTGTGGGACCCACTCCATCCCAATCCCTGGTCTTGCCTTAGAGGCTGCATCCTCCCCTTCTTTAGAGCCCTTCCTAGTGGCTCATCAAACAAAGCTTGAAGGCTCTCTTCATCAAGCACACAAGGGGCTTGAACAAGTCTCAGCTCTTGGCCTATCAGATCGTGGTTTCTCAACTCTAGCCCTCTCAAGACGTGGCTTCTCAATCCTTGGTCCTCTCTCATCCTTATCCTTCCCAACTCTTGGTTCCTTGTCAACCCTTTCCTTCACAACCTTTGTAGCTCCATGACTCTTAGAACTGAGAGTTGGTACTGTCAATTGTGGCACAAAAGTCTGAACCTCTAGGCTGCAAGCGATATGACACCAAACTATTCACCTTGTGAAGGATCACTTCTTGCTTGTGAAAGTCTATTGAAGCGCCAACTGTACTAAGGAAAGGGGTTCCCAATAACAGAGGCAAATCCTTCTCTTCTTCCATTTCCATCACAGTGAGATCAGTTTGGATGATGCATTCTCCAATTTTCAAGTGATAGTTCTTGAACACTCCAAGAGGAGACTTAGAAGTTGCATCTCCAAACATGATTGAAGTAGTAGGGCGCTGCAAGGCTCCAGCAATGCCTAGCTTCTCTGCCATGGAGAGAGAGATCAGATTGATGCTTGCTCCAGAATCCACTAAGGCATTGTCAATCTCAAGATGCCCAAGTGTGCAAGGGAGAGTGAATTTCCCTTGATCCTTGACCTTTGGTAGGAAGGTGGGTGAAGTAAGCAGGTTGAACTGATGAGTAGACTCTTGTAGGACCTCTGAAACTTTATCACTGTTGGCTAGAACATCCTTGACCATTTGCATTTGATCAAATGCCTCACTCATGCTATCCATAGGAGGCAACTCAATTCCAATCCCACTGAGATCTCTTCTGAACTTGTGAATCACTTCCTTGTGACCTTGACTAAGTAGGCGAGACGAGGAAGCGGCAACCGGTTGTAAGGATCAAGCAAAAAGGCTTTGGGACAGAAGAGGTCGGACTCGATCGAGCTAGAGTTGGACTCGATCGAGCTGCCGATCGAGCTTGTCGTGCGAGCTCAACTGGTGAAGTGTGAATGGCCACAGTAGGTGCATGCACTTCTGGTTGATCAATCTGGACTCCAGGAGCCTCAGCAGCAACAATCTCTTCATCATTCAGCAGTAAACAAAAATCTTCAATGACCCTTTCTTGATCCTCTTCTTCAACAAGTCCTTCTTGAGTGAAGATGACCTTGCACTGTTCCTTGGGGTTCTGAATAGCTTTACCAGGTAGTTGTCCTTGCTTTGTAGCAGCAGCAACAGAAGAAGCATGATTCTCCAGAGAGTAAACCCTTGTGTTGAGGTTCTCGATCTTAGAGTTTATTTCAGCTAGCTTCTTGCTTGTGTCCACTACCCCATCAGCTTGCCCTTGAAGTAGTTGCTTTAGCATTGCCTTGAGCTCATTCTCTTGTGAAGGTGCAGGCTGGGGCGGTTGGTGGGGGAAGCCTGGTGGGATATTCATTTGTTGTCCAGGGAAAGTGCCTTGTGGTCCTTGGTAATTGTTCTTTTGACCATACCCATGTTGTGGCACCTGACTCGATCGAGCTGCTTGTTGTTGAGGATATACTTGGTCCTGAGGGTTAGCAACATCAGTGTTGCGGTATGACATGGCAGGGTTGGACTTGTAGTTATAGTATCCTTTGTTGTAACCTCCTTGCCCATTGCTCATGTAGCACACCTCAGCAAATTGTGTATCCTCCCCTTCTTGGACTGGTTCCATCTCCTCAGCAGACACAAAGTTGACTTTCTTCATTGTGGACTGAGCTAGGATCAGCTTATCCAACTTCTCATTCAATGCCTTAACATCTTTTCTCAACTTTTCGTCTGACTCGATCGAGTGGTGGGTCGAGCTCCGGTTGGTGCGATCATACTCTTCTCCATAGCTTCCATTTGAGTTAGCTATGTTCTCCACAAGTTGCCAGCCATCATCTACATCCTGGTTGAGGAAGTTCCCATTGCTAGCTGTGTCTAGCATCTCCCTATACCTAGGCAAGCATCCTCTATAAAGAGTGGAGAGTAGTGATTCATTGTTGAATCCATGGTGTGGGCACTGACTTGTGTAGCCTTTGAACCTCTCCCAAGCCTCTGCGAATGTCTCATTGTTTCGCTGGATGAAGCTGGATATCTCTCCTCTAAGCTTGGCTGTGCGACCGGTGGAGAAAAACTTAGCAAGAAAGGCCTTCTTGCATTCATCCCAAGTGGTGATTGTGCCATGGGGCAAGCTCTTCTCCCATTGGTGAGCTTTGTCAGCTAGAGACATAGGAAAGAGTCTCAGCTTGATGGCATCTTCAGAGACACCATTGATCTTTGTCAAATCACAAAGCCTATCAAACTCATCAAGGTGGTCAATGGGGTCTTCACTTGGCAATCCATGGAACATCTTGTTCTGGACAAGGTTGATCATTCCCAGCTTGATCTCAAAGTTGTGGTTCTGCACTGGTGGTGGAACAATCCCTTGTCTCTGTTGGTGGCGGTTTGGAGCATCTCCTTGACCAATCGGTCGAGTTTGCCTAGCTCGACCGAGTCCATTGCCCAAAGGGTTTCCATTCCCCTCTGGTACATCCATTGTATCAGCAACAAGCACCTCAGGTTCCTCTTGTACCCTCTGTGACCTCTGAACCCTCTTTCTACCCGTTGTAAAGTCTAGCTCGACCAAGTCTTGTAGACCGACTCGATCGAGTTCGCATACACCTGCAAAAAGAGACAAAAACCCAGCAGTACAATAGAACAGGGGTGGTATAGCTTGATCGTCCAAGTGTGTTTGAAACTCAAATGCAACAAAAATATCCCAAATCGGCAACGGCGCCAAATTGATGATAGGATTTTGTGTGTGTGATAAGATATGAGGTGGAATGCAAACAGGGTAATAAAGATGAATGGTGCAATCACAATCAATCAATTCCTCTTAACCATCATAGTCATGTAGTATAAGAGGTTATCAATCCAAAATGGGAAACTTGTCACTCTATGAGAATATGAAACAACAGAAGTCAAGCAAGCAGTAAAGATTTGGTAACACTAACAACCTAATAAAGAAATGAAATGCAGAAAGTAAATAAAAAGTAGAGCAACAGCTCGACCAAGGACTCGAGTCGAGTGGAACAGAGTACCAGCTCGATCGAGTTTAGGGTCGAGTTGAGAAAAAGAATAAAGGCACGACTTTAACAAGCTAAAGAGAAATTAGGGTTCAAGACAGGGTTTTGCAATCAGAGGAATCTACACTTAATCAATCTTGCTCTTAAAACTCCTTGTATCAAGGCTTCTCTTGATATTGGGCTTCTCAATGCCTAGCCAACCCTTTCCCAAGGTGAAAGGCTATCAACCAAGGAATGATCTCAGAAACAGGGGGTTAGCCAGTGAGAATCAAACCTTGGAGGCCATAGGATCATTGCCCAAACTAATCCATCCAACCCCTTAGACCTCCATTTCTAGAGCAAGAGATATTGGAGCTCTTAGTGGATCTTTTCCAGCGATTTCCATCACTTCCATGTGGAGAATCGCCTAAGGACTTACAAGCCAGGGGTAGTGGTCATGTAGCCTTAAGATCTATCCAAAAGAGAGAGAATCTAGATTAAGACCATAAGCTAGAAGGATTAAGCATATGAAACCTCTAATCTATCCCATCTCAAACCCTAATGGGTAACTACTCACTACACATGAATGTAAACACAAGCAAATGCAATAAAAGAGACATCATAAGAAAGAGGAGATGAAATTAAACAACTTTTATTGAAATAAGCAAGTGCAAATACAAAGAGATTATCCAGGATCTAGGATTCAAGAAGCAAGAGCTTCAAGAACACAAAGATGGGATTAGAGCTCTAAAAAGTAAAAGACAATAAATTAAAAGAAACTAAAACAAAAATAATCTAAAGCTTGGTGGTTTTTTCGTGGCTTAGAGCCTTTAAATACAAGAGGATTAGGTTTAGGGTCAAAGGAAAGTCAAGGGGGAAGCAACATTTTTCGGGTTTGACTGTTGACTTCTCAGCTCGATCGAGTTGAAGCTTGGCCGGTCGAGTTGAGGAACTCGACCGTTGGTGGTCGAGCTGGTCTTCAAGATGGCTTCTCCTTCTTCCTTTGCGTATCCAGTTGAGCTGCGTCCATGCCAAGTCCCTCCATGCTCCTCGTCCCATATGCTCCAGAATGCTCCAAAAGACCTATTTCAAAGGACCAAACATGCATATGTATGCAAATGCAACCTAAAACTACTATGAATGCATAAGAAGAGAAAAGGAACAAGATATGATGCTAATGGATGCTAAAACTATGCAAAAGATGCATAAAAGATGTACTAAAACTATGTAAAATGCAAGTACATCAAGGATATGTTTTATTCTATCACTCTTGATAACCCTCTTTAACTTGTGCCGTTGTGCGACACATGCAGACACTTTTGTTGCCTCTTTGTCTGTGATTATTTCACTTGCTTGTTGTATGTGTTGAGTCATTGAAGTGAACCACATACATTCCCTGCATGCTTCATGCAATACAATAATATATACATAGTTTGAAGAAGTGACGATCAAAGTGTTTTTGAGAACGCCATGAGATCGCCGTTCCATCAAACGGGAAACCATATCTAGTATGGGATCGAGCTTTATGCAGATAAGATAAATATCATGCATTTGCAAAACCACCTAGACCACACTCGGATTTTCTTTGATAAAATAATCTAACAGCAATTATACCTTATATCTGAATTATCAATTTCACGATCAATTTCTTTATATACAAAACAAATTAAATGTATCCCTTACTCATCACATGTCCGGATCTCTTTAATCCATATGGGATTTTTGTATATATATATATATATATCACTATTAAGTGATCTATATAGGTATGCTGTCAATAACACATCATGTATTTCTTAAACTGTGATATGCCAATAGGCTCATTAAGTACATGATGTGGTTGCATTCATAACTGGGGAAAATGCATTTTGATAATCAATTCTCGGCTTTGCGAAAAACCTTGTGCAACAAGTTAGGTTTTATACCTTTGATCTCGTTTTTTGTTTCACATTTCTCCTTCCTACAAAGCCTCATTTGTACCCGACTAGTATTACATCTTTAAGTGTAATGACTATGGGCTTGATTGGTTCTCCCGCTGCCACCCGCAAACGTAGCTTTTGCGGGTGGTTAGCAGGAGCATCTGCAAGCGGCACAGCTACCAGACCAACTGACCCACTCAGATCCGCCTCGACTGATGCTGCCAACTCCACCAGACCCGCCCTTGTAGTATACATACCAGCTCTGCACGGCGTCCGCATACTCATGCGAAGTCCCTCCAGGAACCTTTTCATCAACTGATGCTCACCCTCCATGCCAAAACCAGCATGCACTAACAGACGGCTGAACTCCGCATCATATTCACGTACAGAACGCTCACCCTGCTCGATCTCCATAAACTGCATCTGAAGACGATCACGTGCCTGCCTCAGGGAAGTACTTGGCGTGGAACTCCACGAGGAAGTCGCCCCAAGTCCAAACTGCCCTCCGGCCCACAGTGGCCTGCAACCACAAGTGAGCATCGCCACCCAAATAAGGGACCGCTCACTCCACCCAGTACTCCATAGGACATCGAATCGACTGGAAGTTCCGCTCCAATCTCTAACGCCACGCGTCCGCCTCCTCAGGACTAACTCTCCCCTCGGAGAAAGGCGTACCAATCCTTTGCATGTGCCCTATCATATCCACATAGCGAGACACACCCGCACCCGCAGCCCCCGGCTGCACAGCCTCTGCCAGTGGCGGTACTCCTGGAGCCCCTTGTGGAACCACCGGCGGAAAACGAGCCAATAGCTGCATCAGCAAACCCACCACCAAGTCATCACAACCCGGAGCCGGAGCGGCACCCCCACCCGGAGCAGCCCTTGATCCCAAACCAACACTCGCATCCACACTTGCCTCACTCGCCACGGATACCGACTGGGGCACTGACGCAGTCGCCACACTCGGCGCTACACTCTCTCCCAACTCCTCCGGAAGTCCACGACCACGACCTGGGCCTGCTCGGCCTCCAGCTATACCACCAGCTTTGCCGCCACGGCCTCTAGCACTGCGCCCTCTCACGCTATGACCTCTAGGAGCCCCGTCCATCTCACTGCATGGACCCGAACATGAGCAACTAGAACAATAAACACAAAACACAAATACCAAAACTCACCGCGGAATCTCCTGTAGCTGAAGGGGATGATACTAAGCCTAGCAATTCTAACAGTCCTAAAACCGTCTAGGTTCTGATACCAAAATGAAACAACCAACATTTGTTTTTTATTTATATTTAAATAAATCCTAACAAGTCTAGCGAAGGTCTTTAAAATAAATTAAATAAATAATAATCAAATAAAAATATCAATTCAGCTCAGCGGAAGCAAACAAATAATTAAACAAGTCTAACAACTTAAACCAGTTCAAATGAAATAAAGCAAAATAATAAATCCTATCATCCCCTCTTCAGCCTTGATTCCGCGATCACATAAACCTTTTACCTGCAACATATTGGAATTGAGTTGCGTAAGTATTATCATAAATACTTAGTTAGGCAATCACCCTGCCTACAAATCAATTACACAATTTACTAGCAATTAAATAATTATTATAAACTCCAATAATTTTTAATTTCCTTTTTTTCAATTATTAAATAATTCTCCATAATTAAAATTCCATTTCTCAATCATTAAATGATTCTCATAAGTAAATAATAATTTTCCATATTTTAAAATAATTTAAATAATTATTTCAAGCCACTTAATTAATTAAATACCCTTTAACTAATTAAATTCGAATTTAAACCAATTAACCAGATTTAAACCAGAAATTAATTAAATTAAACCAAAAAATCAATTTTCAATTGAACCAAACTAAACCAGCTGCGTCGACCGACGCACGTCTGTTAGGTCGACAGGATATCAACAAATCACGCAGAAAAATCACGCAGAAACACAGAATTAACATAGAAATCACTCAAATATCATCACATAAACCTCATATCATAAGAACACCTCAAGAACAACAACAAACCAATCCGAATCTAGCAATCTGCGAACCCACAGTCATACACTCACCTTGATTTGGCTAGAAACAGGGAAAAGGGAGAAGAAGCAAGGAAGAACAGTCACTAAACACCACGATTTGCCTCAAGAACACCGGAATTCGTCCAGAAATCGCCTCCTCTTCTTCTTCTCTCTGATTTGCGGCCACAAGATGACAAAACAGCTGCTCCGCAGCTTTTATCACGAAATTAGGGCTTCCTGACCCAAACAAGGATAAACCGGGCCTAATTTCACTTAAATTGAAACGGGTCTGATTTTGAAAACCTTGCGTCGACCGACGCAACACCTGCGTTGCCCGACGTAACTTCTAAAACTCACCAAAGAGGGCTACAGATGTTATAGTAATGCAAAGCGGGAGAAGACCAACACAATGCCGCATGTACATAAGGTTGCACTATGGAGTTTGCAAGGCATATTCATATATGTGCTATGGGTGTGGAAGCAAGAGTATACCTGAAGGTTTTGTCCAGAAAAAAGGCATATTAGACTGTACTGCCCTAACAAAGGGGTCACATGCTGGCAGTGCGGACACAAAGGACACTATGAGAGAAGCTACATAGTTAGAAAAGAAAGATCACATGAAGGGAACAAGAACGGTAAATCAACTGCCTCCACCTTTGAAGCGCCTAGCAGTTGTACCGCGAGTGTATGTGGCAGGAATAAAAGAAGGTGCAGGAATAGAGCATGCAGCATGAGATGTGGAATGCGAGAATGCAAAGAAAATCAATGGTAAGTCTTAATTAATCATTTAATAAATGGATGTGGGTCATTTATAAGTCAAGTCGCTAAGAACTAGGAAACCATGTAAAATTCGATTTAGTAGAAATGGTTGTTTCTACACCTTGTTCGATATGTAAGTTCAAAGATAGTTCATAAGGAAGAGAAGAAGGTCGAAGTCAGATAACTCAAGGCTACCAAGTCCCAAGAAGACATTATGTGGAGAGAGGCACATCAAAGTTTAGTGTGAAATCAAGTTGGGGGGGGGGGAGAAGGAGTACCACAAATTCTAGGACGAATTCAATTCAAATGGGGAAGAATTGTCACATCCCTAATCCAGAAATAAGGGCTAGAAATTTTTTCAATTAAAACTTTAACCCTAACTTGTATAGAGAGCAAGTTATGAGCTCTTGAATTTCCAATCAATTTTTTGAGATGGGCCTTAGATTGGAAAAGTCAGGCCATAAAAATTTTTAAAATATAGTTGGACTCGGATTGGGTTGGAGAAAACCCTAAAAGAAGAGAGATTTGTTAAACCCATAATTAGAATGACATTAAGGGTTAAGTACATTTAATTGCGTGGCCCTTAATCATCAGCAAAGAAAGTCAGAGTCAGAAAGCCCATATGGACCATTAAGGACAAAATAGAGCTTTCTTCTTAAACCATAACCCTAGGAGCCTAACTCCACTCTATATAAGGAGTAGCCATGACCATAAGGACATCAGAAACATTGTCTACGGGGAACCCCTACTAAAATTGCCCCAGCGCTAGCCAACTTAAAGGAGAGTTCTTTGAGCCATCTAGAGAGAAACAAGCCAGATTCAGATCATTTTGGTGCAGTAGAGGAACGAACAACCAAATCATATCATAACAGCATGAATTTCGGTAAGCATGTTCCTGACCCATGGATCTAGATTTATCAGAAAACGGATCCGAATTCAGAATTGTAGATCCAGAGTTATATCACTTTTCTGCAACTGTTGTTTTGTAAATCGGATTATCTTAACAGTGAACTTGCAGAGCACTTAGCGGTGGACTCAAAATGAATCAGGAGGCTATCTGCATATCATTGGAAATCTCTCAAAGTTATTACTTCGGATCTGACATAGAGAGTTTTGCAATGCTATTCAGATAGCCTCATGATTTCTTTCGAGTTGACAAGTGCTTCACATGTTTACTGTTCACACAATCCGAGTTACATAAAACAGTCTGAAAAGAACTTTTATAACTTTGGATCTACAATTCTGAATGTGGATCCGTTTTCTACTATATCTAGATCCATGAATCAGAAACATTCTTATTGAATTTCAGGTTGTTTTTATCTGATTTGGTTGGTTGTTACTCTACTGCAACAATACGAATCTGGTTTGCTCTGAATAATTTGTTCTAATGAATTCTCCTTTGAGTCTCGCCGTCGACAAGGTCTGTGATCTCCTCTTAGTCGTGGCTACTCTTTATATAGAGTGAAGAGAGGCTTCTAAGGTTAGGGTTTACGAAGAAATGTCCATTTTGTCCTTAATGGTCCATATGGGCTTTCTGACTCTTGGTTTCTCTGTTGATGACTAAGAACCACAAAATTAGAATTAATTAACCATTAATGACATTCTAATTATGGGCTTAACAATTCGTTTCTTTTAAGGTTTTCTCCAACCCAATCCGATCCAAATTGTATATAAACTTTCTTCAGCCTGACTTTTCCATTCTTTCTCTATTTGGCCCATTTCTTTCTACAGTCCAACATAAAATGTATTAAGCCTCATTCTAAAGTAGATTGATTGAAAGCTCAAGAGCTCATAACTTGCTTTCTCTACAAGTTAGGGTTAGAAATATTTTGGCTCTGCAAAGCAGATTTTTCAGAGCACAGATTTAAGGGCTCTGAGAATTCTCTCTCTTCTTGTTCCTTAATCTCACTCTCTATATTCCTTTTTTATTTTTTTCTTTCCTATATCTCTTTTCTTTATTTTTAATGCTACATTTATGATATTTTATAATAAATTATTTATAATAAAAATTCCACAGCAAAAAAATCTACAGCCTAAATTCTACAGCAAAACAATTAAAGCTACAGACACAACCAATCAGGCCCTTTGGCTCTGCAGAGCAGATTTTTCAGAGCACAAGTTTAAGGACTCTAGGAATTCTCTCTCTTCTCTTTCCTTAATCTCATTCTCTATATTCTTTTTTCATGTTTCTTTCCTATATCTCTTTTATTTATTTTTAATGCCACATTTATGATATTTTTCTAATAAATTATTTATCATAAAAATCCTACAGCACTAAAATCTACAGCCTAAATTCTACAGCAAAAAATCCAAAGCTATAGATACAACCAATCAGGCCCAAATTGTCTCCACTGATGAGATATGAAAATAAATTAATTCTAATATCATTTTTTCATGTTAAATTTTATATTCTACATGATTTAAACAAAGTATCAAAATTAGTTATAATTTTTTCAAATCTTAGTTTTTGTAATGTTAAATATAATTAATAATTGTAACTTATATAAATTAAAATAAAACTATGATAGAATTTAAATATATGCATAACGGAATTTGATAGATATTTTTTTTTTATGATTCATAAAAAAAATAAAAAATAATAACATACAAGAAATTTAATTGATATTTTATATTATTGTGTATTTTTTCTTTAATGTTTATTAACTTTTATCATGAGATAACCATTGAAATACTCTCAATGGGTATGCTCTAACGCATATACATGTAAAAATGAATGATGTAATTAAAGAGCGGAATACTTACAATGAATAGCTTGAAAAAGCTTCAATAGCAAAAACTCTGACGGAGATCTAAGTGTAAGATTTTTTTGCGTCGAAGAAGATGATAAACGGCGATAAAGAATAAACTAGATAGATTTAGGTTAAACAACTACATAACACTTATATACACATTTCTATGTGAATAAAATATATATGGCCTAAAGCCCATGTATATAAAGCCCAAAATATATCTATACTAATACAAAATAAATCGTAATTTCTTTGGTGGTTAAACAACTACATAACTTCGGGAAGTCTACCCGTGAAGTCTATTTAGGCTGTATTAGAGTTTGCAATGAAGTCTAATAATAAGTAGACTTCATTGCGAAGTCTAATACTTGGTAGACTTGTGATTGAAGTCTAGTGGTCAACGCTTATCAGAGTAGACTTCTCAGAGAAGTCTATTTTCTAAAATCAAAAATTAGATCAATTGCAAATATATAACTAATTTAATATTTTCTTGAACAACTAGTTGAGTTATTCTGTTTAGTTGCTTATTTGTTAGTTTGACATGCTTATTTATTATATATTTCGTGAAAATCGGTTTTCTTGTTTGGGTAGCACATTATACATTACTAGGTAGACTTTGTCGTGAAGTATAAAGTCTACACAAGAAGTCTACTATAGTATGTTTTTTTTTAAACCATTTTTGAAAAATGTATAACGAATTTTAAGATTTTCTGGAAACATTAATTGTATTAGTCTGTTTAGTTTTTGTGTGTGTTAGTTTGACATGCTTATTCGTTATATACAAAGTGAAAACGGTTTTTTATGTTTGATTAGCACTTAGACATCCAAGTAGACTTCTCTGTGAAGTATATTACTAAAGTTTATACAAGAAGTTTAACTATATGATTGAATTTGGTCCGTTTTAACTAAGTAAAATGCATCAAAAATGTTTTAATTTGAGTTTTTACTACAAATCTGTAAAGCCTACTAAATTTTACTAAAGAAGTCTTCCTCTCAGTTTAAAATTGATCCATTTTAGCTTAAAAGTTTATGATATATGATCATGCATTACTTTTGTATTAGTCATTGTATTAGCCAAAATGTTAAGTGATAGATAACAAGAAAACTTGTATTCTTCAATTTTTTTTATCAACTTAATTTTCAATAACTTTATAATTTAAATTTAAGTTGTGATTAGGAAGTAGACTTCATCAGGAAGTAGATTTTAAACACAATAAAACAGATATTATGACTCTCGTTTTTTCTTCGCATAAATTCGTTTCCTGGCCAAAATATTTCGTTTTCCGCTCACTTTTTTGAGTAACAGACATCATGTCAAAGACTAACAATGAAGTCTATATATGAAGTCTGACTAACCCTAAACCCTAAATCGAATTTTAATATCAAAGCTATAGAAAACATCAATTATGTATACATAATCACAATTTACATTATAAACTATGAATTCATTAGCTCTAAATCGTTAAACAAACCGCAAATATTTTTTTATGTTAAAATTATGTAAACTCTAACAATGACATTCATAAACCCTATACATTATACCTTAAACACTAAGTTTAATGATTGGTTTACTCATGAAACTTATAAATTGATTCATTTCCATAAAATTTTGTTTTACATAGATAGGATTTATCTTTATTTAAATTATTTGTAATTTTTGAAACCTAAATTGTTTTTTTATAGATTTTAAATTTAAATTTAAAATTTTGTTATTTAGTAGACTTCACACAATTTTTTTTTATTATACCATAATTTTATTACCGGATTTAAATTGACCAATTTATATGCAAATTTATTTTTCATGGATAGTACTTGTCTTTATTAAAATTTTGTGTAAGTTCCACTATCAAAATATTTTTAATTTATTTTAAACTTTAAATTTAAGATTTTCCTGTATAGTAGACTTCTTGAGTAGACTTCATGCAGTTTATAGGTTACAAACATAATTCCTCTTTTCTTGAGTTAAATGGATTCATTTTTATGCAATTTAATTTTTCTTGGATGCCAAATGTTCTAATCTTATTTATTTATAATTTTGTTTAATTAAATCAATTTCCTATAATTTTATAATTTAAATTTGAGTTGTGATTAGGAAGTAGACTTCATCATTAGACTTTAAACGGGGTAAAGCAGACATTATGACTAACGTTTTTTCTTTGTTCATAAGGGCGTGCTTTGTAATTTTACATGCCCAAAAGAGTAGTTTTGCTCGTAATGCAATATAGGGTTTAGTTTTACATTTCAAATCAAATTGTGTACTATAATTGGCAACAGAGCGGTGACTATAGTATATTGAAAAGTGCATTTGTACTGGACCCCCACATATATATATATATATATATACATCTATAAAGGCCCCCAACTAACTAAAACTTATAGTATCCTAGTGGTTTCAATAGTTCTATACAAGGTATATTATCTGAGTTTGACCCTAACTCCCTTCATATTCTTGCTTTAATTTTTCATTTTTTAATTTAAATTATCTAATAAAGGATAATAAAATTAAAAAGGCCCCTATTTTTAAAATTTGCCATGAGTCCGTACACCTTCGCACGGCACTGATTGGCAATTCCCCCTACAACCAAACATCAGAATTTCATGAATTATTAGTCCACTGCGACACTAGTACAACTACAAATTACAAACAGAAGCTTTAAAATTGTACAATATAATTGCATAGATTTTCAAATTTATATCATTGATATATTACTTAGTATGCTAACTATTTCTAAAATTTTATATTTTACATATTTTACAAAATCTCAAAATCACGTATCCTCGCCAAAACCTCAAAATCATGTTTTCTCAATCAATTGATTTCTGATTTTGATAAACTGAAATTTTTTAATTGGTTAACCATCTCAATCCATCAAATCAATATAATTTTAATCATTTGAACCCAACCCAATTAATCCATCAACTTAATTGACCCATGAATCCATTTGTATCCAAATTTTGAATCCATTTAGTCTAATGGATTAGATGGGTTGGATGGATCCATTAATTTTGATCCATTTTGACACCTCTATTCACAACATTTGAAACATAATGACGTGATGAGCATACTATTATATACAAATCCATGTTTTCAAATGCAACTTTTGCAGTGGTAATTTGGTTGTAGATTTAGAAGTTTAAAACTCCTTCTTCTCTGAGTTTCAAGATTTAAATAAGATCATTTTTTTAAATAAATGATTTAAATAAGAGAACATATGATGAATCTATAATTTTATGGCATAAACAACAAAAAACAAACGAGAGGACAAAATTGATTACACTTGGTGACTAGTTTTTACCTCATTTACTATATATATTTTTTAAAATTATTATGGTAGTCGAAAGAATTTGAGAATCATATATCGCAACAGATGTTACAATCTAATGAGCGCTCACATGTATCCTTGACAGTTGACACCACATGCGTTCAACTATTTGTCGTAAGTAGGATAAATAAAGCCAAGGATATGCAAAAATATATTACATTTCAAAAAGAAATTTAATACATTTCGCATCATGCACCGAAAATTAGAAGCCAGAGAAAGAGTTTTGACAATGGAAACTAGAGTTGTGCTTATTGTCCCTCTCTACTAATACGCCTTCGGCCTCTATCCATCCATACTCTTTACGGTTGTCCAGTTCCACCTAATCTTTTAAATTTCTCTATGTTATCCTCAATTTAATTAAAAACTAGAATTGAGATCAATTCATCGATCAGATAGCGTTCACGAGGAAATAATGCAGAAATCAATTTGTTTGGGGGAGAATATGCAGAAGTATAAACATTGCTTGATGAGTTAGGGGAGTAGGGTGTTAGAGAGTCAGTCAAAGATAAGATCTCATTCATCTTTATGACTCAATATTCCACATCTCAGTTTTAAGAAGATTATGTGTCCTTAATTACTTTCTTATTAGACAAGCATAGGGCTTCCACTTTTTCTCTCTCGAGGGCGACTACAGGCGATTAGGGTTTTTCCTTTGCCGCCGCCGCCGCGTGGCCTCACGCCCGCCAGTGAAAATCTTCTCTTTTCTCCCTCCTCTTCCTTTCTCTCATGCCTCTCATGGCTCTGTTGGTTCTTGCTCTGTTGATTGTGCCGCCGCTATCGCTTCCCCCTCCAGGATCCAGAACCACCGCCCCTGATTGTTTCTACTTTGGATCTGCTATCTAAGAGTTACGCTCTTGCCAAATCCCCTGACTTGCCTGAGAATCCCTCTCATCTCCGGTCACTCTCCTTCTTCGGTGGTTTCCCCCCGTTGTGAGGCTTCCGGATCCACCGGATCCACCTGACGGTGGTAGATCTTTTCTTCTCCCCGCCACTCCATGTTTCATTCCATTACCATCTCCTCAGGTCGCTTTCTCCCGTCATCCATCACATCTCCTCCGTTTATCCTTTCTATCCCTGATTCTGCAAGTGCACAGGTCAGAAGTAGTAAACGGGTATCGAACACAAGGACCAGATTGCACACTACAAGTTATGAGTTTGAGAACAAGCTAGGGCAAAAGTATAAGTTGGTTGAGTGCAGAGAAAGTAAAGCATGCAAGTAATAAAAGTGAGAATTCAATAGGAGAGAAAGGCTAAGCAATAGGATAGTCTTGAGATAAGCAATTCAAGAAGCATGAAATCAATCAATTAGGGTTACCGCACTTAGGTGCTAATCTAGAACTTGAAACACTATGGTATGATCATTCCACTGTCGAGGCTCCGACCCCTTTGTTAATCTACCTAGTCGCTAAACTTTTGGTATGTCCCTAGGTGATTAAATCAAGCATTAGTTCGATCAAGATCAATTGTTCACAACCTACAAGTAGATCAACTGTCGCAGTCTAAAAGAGATTGCCCACCAAATACTAGTTCAGGCGAATGATACAGCACTGTCGAGGCTCAAATCAACCTAAAGGCATATGCTAATTGGCCAGATTAACAACAAGCATTAAGTATAAGCAAAGATGGAGATTATAAGTAAAACCCTAATTGTGATCAATCATCAAGCATACATGAATGCTATCCTTTGACTTCCTATCACTTAACAAGTAAACTACTCAGACATAGAGAAGGAAACGAATTCATATTCATAAGAACAGAGATTCGAATCCTCTCTAGAAAGAGTAACAAGCAAGAACAAAGTAAAAGCAAGCAAAACTTTATTAAGATGTAAAATAGATTGTGGTCTCTCTCCTTCTTGAGTTACAAGGCTAAAAAGAAGTATTTATAATGCTCTAAGTATAAGAAGCGGCTAAACCTAATCTAGCTAGGTCGGCGCCGGCTTTGGGCTTGAATTGTGCGGATTGGGCTTCAAAAACGGCTTCGGGTCGACCGCGGCGTTCGGACGGTCGGTCGGGACGATCGGCCGGACAGTCGGGTCTTGGCCGAGTCGGAACGGTCGTGGCCGGATGTTTCATGGTCGGCCGGCTGGTCGGCGGATGAAGATTTGGCCGATGGTTTCTCGGCCGGACGTGGGACGTTCTTCCCGGCTCGGACGGATGCATCGGCCGTGGTACGCGAACGGGTTGCGCGGCCGCGAGGCTTTGTTTCCCGGCTCGCGCGCGTTGGCGTGGCGACCGCGGGCAATGTTTCCCGGGTCGTGTGTGATCGGCCGAGTGGTTTGGACTTTGGCCGAGACTTCAGTCGGACGGAATACGGTTTTGGCCGAGCGCGGAACATTCGTTCCTCGGCCAGCCGGACTGCGCGTTCGGGCTGATTCTCGATATAGCCGTCTGGAGCAGCCTTCACTCTTTTGGCTATAACTCCTTTTCTACTCATCCAAATGAAGCCATTCCAGTTGCGTTGGAAAGTTAACTCAATCAGAGCACGCAGGGAACTGGTCTTGATGAAATCCATTGAGTAGATCTTTTTCTAGCTCCATCCAAAGTTGATGCAGGGGCATTGAACTGGTTTAGAGTCCAAATCTCCTGTTTTGCTCCATAATGCACCTTTTTACCTAAAATGACTCTTTGCACTATAAATCCATAAAAACTACCTTTTAACACAAGAATCCACTAGAAAACCATTAGAAAACCATAGTAAAATAGCATAAAAAGTAGGTAAAATAGAGGTATATCAACTCCCCCAGACTTAGATCTTTGCTTGTCCCCAAGCAAAAAGAATCTAAACTAGTGAAGAGGTTTTGAAAAACGTGGGAACTCTCTTGCTTCTTTGAAAATCCTGTGAAAGGTTCCTTTCCTGTATTCCACTAAGAACATAGTCAACATAAGGTTAGCTTCACATACACCCTGCAAGTTTAGCAACAATACCAACCCAACTAGTCTCATCCAGCAATCCAAACTCTCTATTGTTAACCTCTTGCAGAAATTTAAAGCGTGAGTTCTTTATCAAGGGAAAATCGATCAATTGAACTTGTTCTTACCCACTTGATCTTCTCCAAGATTGTCTTTGAAGTGCAATGAGTTCCTTTTCCTCTCTCTTTCTCACATCAGAACTTTGAAAGGTCAATTTCTCCCTACTTTTCTAGGGTATCATTTTATTTTTTCTATTGACCTTTCTTTCAACCACAGGATAAGTCTTTAGCTTGTTCCTTGTTTGATAAGGTATTCCATAAGACATGAAGGTACAGACATATGCATTCCTCATGCTTACTTGTTTTCCTTGTGCTCTTTGAGCTTTTCTCATAAACATTACTTACCATTTGGGATGGGAGAGAGAGGTGAACTCTTTAGACAAATCTCATTGAAAATCAAGCAAGGAACTGTCGACATGTATGCCAATCCCCTTGACAAGAGTTATTAAGATTGATTAAGGGTGAGGTTAACTCTAGATTGCTTGGTTACCTTAGAAATTTCGCTGAGCTAGCATGCGATCCACTCTAGGAGCTTCTGTTAGGCTTGTGCCTTCAGCTGATGTTTGCTCTAGGGTCATAGATTGTTAGCATGACACTATCAAATCTCAAAGCAAGTTCATTGTTCCCGGACTGGTTTTGACTCAATAAAACAGAAGTTTTGAAAAAGTGGGTTAGGAAAAACCAATTATAAGATCAAAACAACCATGAACAAACACATTAGTACCGACAATCCCCCCAGACTTAACTTGCACCGTCCCGGTGAAAGAAAATCCAATTAAGGGAGTTAAAGAAAGAGGTAATAAAGTGGTTGTGAATGTAAAAAGAAAGATGTAACCTGATTTGGTGTTACTTGAAGAATGGTGAATGCAGTGGAATGATGGTAGTGATGGAATGCAAGTGTGGTGAGGTGGGATGGGTGAGATGCAGATGGAATGAGATGGGATGGTGTGTTGGGCGGCTTGAGAGGACATGGGCGAGCGTTGGAGAGGTTCTGCTCGGCCATCAAGTCGCGCCAACTATGACATTCTTCTTTGTGGTATATCTTCTTTACCATTGTGTGGTTCTTAGATTCCTGTTTCCAAAACTCAAAACAAAACTAGACATTAACTAAAACTAATTGAAAAGAAAAGTAAAGAAAAACACCTTTCATGGGTTGCCTCCCATGCAGCGCTTCTTTTGAGTCATTAGCTTGACTGATAGGATCTCTTAGTTGGAGATGGGGTAAGGGCACGGCCTGAGACATAGTCTTTTAGTTCTTGTCTCATTGTGACCTTGAGTGTGGTCTGGTGGCTCTCTTGGGCGGCCTTGGGCAGTGATGAGGTAAGACAGCTTGTTTGGTGAGATGAATGGTATGGTCTTGTAAAAGACTGTCTTGTCAACATTGGCTAAGGACATTCGCCGGTTTGGAAGGTCCATGACAGCTCCAGCAGTGGCCAAAAAGGGTCGGCCTAGTATCAATGGTGTGTCACATCCTCCTTGAATGTTTATGACATGAAAGTCCACCGGGATCTTGATATCTCCAATCTCTAGAAGAACATCAACAACAACTCCTCTTGGCTTGGCTATAGTATGGTTAGCAAGTCCAATACTAATTTGAGCAGGTTGCAAGCGTGTGATGCCAAGGAGTTTGGCGGTTTGGGTTGGCATGAGGTTTATGCAAGAGCCAGAATCGCATAGTGTTCTATCAAAGTAATGACCATTTACTTGACAGGGAATAGAGAATTGACCTGGGTCTTCAATCTTGTAGAGGGTCTTGAAGGTTGGCTGAACTTTAGCTTTCTCAAAAAGCTCTTTTATGTCCTCAGGTGTCTCCTTGCAGTTGTGGAAGAAAGGGGTGAATGGGTAGTGGCGCCAAGCTTGTTTGAAAGACATGCTGGCTGGAAGAGTTTGGACAAACTGATTGAACTCAGCAAGCTTCTCTCTTGATATGGAATTGACATACCACTGGGTGGTGGTGATGATGGTGGTGATGGTGGTTGATTGACTCCATGAGGGGCAAGGGGAAATCGTGCCTTCCTGAAGAGTTGGTGTATCTCTTCTTTGTTTTCACTAGTTGTGAAAAAGAACTCCACTAGACCATGTTTATCCCAAGCTTCTTCAAAAGTGACATAGAATGGAAGTGATTTCACCTTAGCATTGAACTCTTTAAGCTTCATGGGGCTTATCTTGTTGGGATCAATGGGATCATACTGCCAAGTATCTTCTTCTTCAGTAGGTGGTGATGGTCTTTGCATTGCTTCCAGTCTTGAAGTGTAGAAGCTTGACTTCTTGGTGAGAAACGAGGGTCTCTAGGGCTGGTGTATCCATGCTCTGTTTTGGGGAAGCATTGATGTCGATGCTCTGCTCTTCATCTTCATCATTCAATTGTTCCTCATACTCTCTTTCTTCTTCTTCATTGTCCTCATGGACTTGAGTAGTGCTTCTTCTTGTGATGGCATTGCAATAAAAGGGAGGGTGGTTGGGTGTTGGACTCCTCTCTCTCTTGTAATTGGCATGAGATGATCCTTCAAGGGCTTGTAGGCGGTTGTAGATTGATCCAAGATGTTTGCTATTGCCATAGCTAGTATCTTCAATTCTCATGCTCTTGTTCAGCAACTCTTGATATTTGGAAGCAACATCAAGCTTAACTAGGGTCAAAGATCGATCATGATCCTCTCTTAACTTCTTAATGTCTTCATCAAGCTTGATCACTTGCTTGAATAGGACTTCAGATTTGTTTCCAAGGCTCTCATGGATGAAATCGATTCTTCTCTCCATCTTCTTTGTACTCTCTTCTTGATTTCTCAAGTACTCTTGAAGCATATCTTCAATCTTGGTTTGGCGCGCAGCTTGATAGCTCTCCCTTGGGAAAAGTGGTGTCTTGTTTATGTCTGGTGATGATGGATGGTATTGTGAATAGCTTGGGCGTGGTGGTGGGACATAAACAGGACCTTTGGCAAATCTGTGAGGAAAGCTTCCTTTGTATCCATTCCAAGTCTTGAAAGCATGTTGGGCATTGAACTTAGCCCATTCTTTGGCTTGTCCAGCTAGTGATAGTTGGAAAAGTTGTATCTTCTTGGGGTTGTCTCCAAGTCCATAGTCATGGCAAAGCTGCTCAAAGTTGCATAGATGCTCCTTTGCACATTCTGAATAGAATTGTAGAAAGGATTCCTCTCCACATGCTTGATTAGCTCTTCATTCAAGACTTCAGGATGGGGTGGTATGCCTCCCCATTCTTCTTCATCACGCTCTCTCTCCAGCTGATGAGAGTAGTGGTGGTACTTGGATTTGAAAGGTGGTTCCTTGCAAATCTCCAAGAAAGCTTCTCTAAAATCGATCCATGACTCGATTGTAGAGGTGGCTCATGCTGCGCCCAATCTAGTGCTGGTCCAGCTAGTGATGTGCTGAATAGCATCATCTTCTTCTCAAAGTCAAAAACTCCATAGGAATCACAAAGATTGTCAAAGTGATCTATGTGCTCCAGCGCATACTCTGAAAACAGATCATGGAATTGATCTCTCTTCACGAACTCGATCAGCTCAGGGTTAATCTCCTCTTCTGGTGTGGCTAGAAGGTACTCTTCTTGGTGTGATGCGGCTTGGCTAGACGTCTCCAGGTCGGCTGCTTCAAGGTAGGAAGAAGTTTCTTCTTTGTCTTCAAAGTGGATGGTCTTGGAGGACTATCCCATGAAGGTGGTGGTGCTTGAGGGCTTAACATCTCTTGTTCGCTCAAGAGGTGCTTTGAGGTGGTATGTGGCGAATTGGCATCGCCTTTATAGGGGAAGAGGCTTGTGGCTCCTTCTCCATATCTAACTAGGAAAACCTGAAAAGCTAAAAACAAAAAGGAAAAACAAAAAGGAAAAACAAAATCAAAGAAAAAAGGAAAAATAACAAAAACAAAAAGGAAAATGAAAACCCTAGACTAGCTCTCTTGCAAGAGCTTGTAGGTGCGAATTGGTCCCCGGCAACGGCGCCAAAAACTTGATCGCGGGATCAGGTCTTCCCCTTTCCTATCCCTGATTCTGCAAGTGCACAGGTCAGAAGTAGTAAACGGGTATCGAACACAAGGACCAGATTGCACACTACAAGTTATGAGTTTGAGAACAAGCTAGGGCAAAAGTATAAGTTGGTTGAGTGCAGAGAAAGTAAAGCATGCAAGTAATAAAAGTGAGAATTCAATAGGAGAGAAAGGCTAAGCAATAGGATAGTCTTGAGATAAGCAATTCAAGAAGCATGAAATCAATCAATTAGGGTTACCGCACTTAGGTGCTAATCTAGAACTTGAAACACTATGGTATGATCATTCCACTGTCGAGGCTCCGACCCCTTTGTTAATCTACCTAGTCGCTAAACTTTTGGTATGTCCCTAGGTGATTAAATCAAGCATTAGTTCGATCAAGATCAATTGTTCACAACCTACAAGTAGATCAACTGTCGCAGTCTAAAAGAGATTGCCCACCAAATACTAGTTCAGGCGAATGATACAGCACTGTCGAGGCTCAAATCAACCTAAAGGCATATGCTAATTGGCCAGATTAACAACAAGCATTAAGTATAAGCAAAGATGGAGATTATAAGTAAAACCCTAATTGTGATCAATCATCAAGCATACATGAATGCTATCCTTTGACTTCCTATCACTTAACAAGTAAACTACTCAGACATAGAGAAGGAACACGAATTCATATTCATAAGAACAGAGATTCGAATCCTCTCTAGAAAGAGTAACAAGCAAGAACAAAGTAAAAGCAAGCAAAACTTTATTAAGATGTAAAATAGATTGTGGTCTCTCTCCTTCTTGAGTTACAAGGCTAAAAAGAAGTATTTATAATGCTCTAAGTATGTAAGAAGCGGCTAAACCTAATCTAGCTAGGTCGGCGCCGGCTTTGGGCTTGAATTGTGCGGATTGGGCTTCAAAAACGGCTTCGGGTCGACCGCGGCGTTCGGACGGTCGGTCGGGACGGTCGGCCGGACAGTCGGGTCTTTGGCCGAGTCGGAACGGTCGGGCCGGATGATTTCACGGTCGGCCGGCTTGGTCGGACGGAGAAGATTTGGCCGATGGTTTCTCGGCCGGACGGGACGTTCTTCCCGGCTCGGACGGATGCATCGGCCGTGGTACGCGGAAGGTTGCGCGGCCGCGAGGTTGTTTCCCGGCTCGCGCGTTGGTCGTGCGCGGGTGGCGTGACGGTGTGGCGTGGCCGACCGCGGGCAATGTTTCCCGGGTCGTGATGTGATCGGCCGAGTGGTTTGGACTTTGGCCGAGACTTCAGTCGGACGGATACGGTTTTGGCCGAGCGCGGAACATTCGTTCCTCGGCCAGCCGGACTGCGCGTTCGGCGCTGATTCTCGATATAGCCGTCTGGAGCAGTCTTCACTCTTTTGGCTATAACTCCTTTTCTACTCATCCAAATGAGGCCGTTCCACTTGCGTTGGAAAGTTAACTCAATCAGAGCACGCAGGGAACTGGTCTTGATGAAATCCATTGAGTAGATCTTTTTCTAGCTCCATCCAAAGTTGATGCAGGGGCATTGAACTGGTTTAGAGTCCAAATCTCTGTTTTGCTCCATAATGCACCTTTTTACCTAAAATGACTCTTTGCACTATAAATCCATAAAAACTACCTTTTAACACAAGAATCCACTAGAAAACCATTAGAAAACCATAGTAAAATAGCATAAAAAGTAGGTAAAATAGAGGTATATCATGAACTCTAATCTTCTTTGGACAGTCTTCACTCTTTTGGTTATAACTCCTTTTCTACTCATCCAAATGAGGCCGTTCCAGTTGCGTTGGAAAGTTAACTCAATCAGAGCACGCAGGGAACTGGTCTTGATGAAATCCATTGAGTAGATCTTTTTCTGGGCCCTCTTAAAGTTGATGCTTGTGCATGGAGCGGCTTGAAGTGCAAATCCTATGGTTTTGCTCCAAAATGCATCATTTCACCTGTTTAGACTCTAGACACTATAAACACATAAAACTACCTTTTTAGATAGAAAACCATTAGAAAACATAGTAAAATAGTATAAAAAGTGTAAAATAGAGGTATATCAACTCCCCCAGACTTAGATCTTTGCTTGTCCCAAGCAAAAAGAATCTAAATCCGTGAAAGAGGTTTGAAAACGTGGAAACTCCCTTGCTCTTTTGAATATCCTGTGAAAGGTTCCTTTCCTGTATTCCACTAAGAACATAGACAACATAAGGTTAGCTTCACATACACCCTGCAAGTTTAGCGAACAATACCAACCCAACTAGTCTCATCCAGCAATCCAAACTCTCTATTGCTAACCTCTTGCATAAATTTAAAGCGTGAGTTCTTTATCAAGGGAACATCGATCAATTGAACTTGTTCTTACCCACTTGATCTTCTCCAAGATTGTCTTTGAAGTGCAATGAGTTCTTTTCCTCTCTCTTTCTCACATCAGAACTTTGAAAGGTCAATTTCTCCCTACTTTTCTAGGGTATCATTTTATTTTTTCTATTGACCCTTCTTTCAACCACAGGATAAGTCTTTAGCTTGTTCCTTGTTTGATAAGGTATTCCATAAGACATGAAGGTACAGACATATGCATTCCTCATGCTTACTTGTTTTCCTTGTGCTCTTTGAGCTTTTCTCATAAACATTACTTACCATTTGGGATGGGAGAGAGAGGAGAACTCTTTAGATTAAATCTTATTGAAAATCAAGCAAGGAACTGTCGACATGTATGCCAATCCCCTTGACAAGAGTTATTAAGATTGATTAAGGGTGAGGTTAACTCTAGATTGCTTGGTTACCTTAGAAATTTCGCTGAGCTAGCATGTCGATCCACTGTAAGAGCTTCTGTTAGGCTTGTGCCTTCAGCTGATGTTTGCTCTAGGGTCATAGATTGTTAGCATAACACTATCAAATCTCAAAGCAAGTTCATTGTTCCGGACTGGTTTTGACTCAATAAAACAGAAGTTTTGAAAAAGTGAGGAAAAACCAATATAAGATCAAAACAAATGAACAAACACATTAGTACACAATCCCCCCAGACTTAACTTGCACCGTCCCGGTGAAAGAAAATCCAATTAAGGGAGTTAAAGAAAGAGGTAATAAAGTGGTTGTGAATGTAAAAAGAAAGATGTAACCTGATTTGTGTTACTTGAAGAATGGTGAATGCAGTGGAATGATGGTAGTGATGGAATGCAAGTGTGGTGAGGTGGGATGGGTGAGATGCAGATGGAATGAGATGGGATGGTGTGTTGGGCGGCTTGAGAGGACATGGGCGAGCTTGGAGAGGTTCTGCTCGGCCATCTAAGTCGCGCCAACTATGACATTCTTCTTTGTGGTATATCTTCTTTACCATTGTGTGGTTCTTAGATTCCTGTTTCCAAATCTCAAAACAAAACTAGACATTAACTAAAACAAATTGAAAAGAAAAGTAAAGAAAAACACCTTTCATGGGTTGCCTCCCATGCAGCGCTTCTTTTTAGTCATTAGCTTGACTGATAGGATCTCTTAGTTGGAGATGGGGTAAGGGCACGGCCTGAGACATAGTCTTTTAGTTCTTGTCTCATTGTGACCTTGAGTGTGGTCTGGTGGCTCTCTTGGGCGGCCTTGGGCAGTGATGAGGTAAGACAGCTTGTTTGGTGCGATGAATGGTATGGTCTTGTAAAAGACTGTCTTGTCCACATTGGCTAAGGACATTCGCCGGTTTGGAAGGTCCATGACAGCTCCAGCAGTGGCCAAAAAGGGTCGGCCTAGTATCAATGGTGTGTCACATCCTCCTTGAATGTTTATGACATGAAAGTCCACCGGGATCTTGATATCTCCAATCTCTAGAAGAACATCAACAACAACTCCTCTTGGCTTGGCTATAGTATGGTTAGCAAGTCCAATACTAATTTGAGCAGGTTGCAAGCGTGTGATGCCAAGGAGTTTGGCGGTTTGGGTTGGCATGAGGTTTATGCAAGAGCCAGAATCGCATAGTGTTCTATCAAAGTAATGACCATTTACTTGACAGGGAATAGAGAATTGACCTGGGTCTTCAATCTTGTAGAGTGTCTTGAAGGTTGGCTGAACTTTAGCTTTCTCAAAAAGCTCTTTTATGTCCTCAGGAGTCTCCTTGCAGTTGTGGAAGAAAGGGGTGAATGGGTAGTGGCGCCAAGCTTCTTTGAAAGACATGCTGGCTGGAAGAGTTTGGACAAACTGGTTGAACTCAGCAAGCTTTTCTCTTGATATGGAATTGACATACCACTGAGGTGGTGGTGATGATGGTGGTGATGGTGGTTGATTGACTCCATGAGGGGCAATGGGAAATCGAGCCTTCCTGAAAAGTTGGTGTATCTCTTCTTTGTTTTCACTAGTTGTGAAAAAGAACTCCACTAGACCATGTTTATCCCAAGCTTCTTCAAAAGTGACATAGAATGGAAGTGATTTCACCTTAGCATTGAACTCTTTAAGCTTCATGGGGCTTATCTTGTTGGGATCAATGGGATCATACTGCCAAGTATCTTCTTCTTCAGCAGGTGGTGATGGTCTTTGCATTGCTTCCAATCTTGGAAGTGTAGAAGCTTGACTTCTTGGTGAGAAACGAGGGTCTCTAGGGCTTGGTGTATCCATGCTCTGTTTTGGGGAAGCATTGATGTTGATGCTCTGCTCTTCATCTTCATCATTCAGTTCTTCCTCATACTCTCTTTCTTCTTCTTCATTGTCCTCATGGACTTGAGTACTGCTTCTTCTTGTGATGGCATTACAATAAAAGGGAGGGTGGTTGGGTGTTGGACTCCTCTCTCTCTTGTAATTGACATGAGATGATCCTTCAAGGGCTTGTAGGCGGTTGTAGATTGAACTAAGATGTTTGCTATTGACGTAACATCTCTTGTTCGCTCAAGAGGTGACTTTGAGGTGGTATGTGGCGAATTGGCATCGCCTTTATAGGGGAAGAGGCTTGTGTAAAATAGCATAAAAAGTAGGTAAAATAGAGGTATATCACTGCCAAAGCCACAAACTCAGATTCCATAGTCGAACTTGTGATACAAGTTTGTTTCTTAGATGCCCAAGAAATGGCACCTCCCCAAGTAGGAACACCCAACCACTTGTAGAAGTATGATCTTCCACGTTGGTGATCCAACTTGCATCAGAATAACCTTCCAAAACCGAAGGAAATCCTCCATAACACAAACCATAGTCCATGGTTCCTCTCAAGTACTTGAGCACACGCTTTACAGCCTGCCAATGGTGAGTACTAGGATTACTAGTGTATCTACTCAACCTTCCAACTGCATATGCAATATCTGGCCTTGTGCTTGTCATTGCATACATTAAGCATCCAATCACTTGAGAATATTCGTGTTGCAACACAGCCTTTCCTGTGTTAGGCATAAGTTTCACACTTGCCTCCATGGGAGTACTTACAGGGGCACAGTTCAAGTAATTGAACTTCTTTAACACTTTCTCAACGTAGTGAGATTGTGATAAACATATCCTCCCATTGTCACGCTTGATTCTAATACCAAGAATCACATCCGCCTCCCCCATGTCCTTCATGGCGAAATTTGATGACAAAAACTCTTTTGTGAGTTCCACTAATCTAAGGTTGGTACCAAAGATCAACATGTCATCCACATATAGACAAATGATCACTCCATTACTGGAATCATCAAACTTGCTATATAAACACTTATCTGATTGGTTAATCTTAAAACCAAAAGACAAGACAGCTTCATCAAACCTTTGATGCCATTGCTTAGGAGCTTGTTTCAGCCCATACAGTGATTTCACCAGCTTGCACACCTTGTGCTCACTTCCAGGCACAACAAATCCCTCTGGTTGTTCCATATACACCTCTTCTTCCAAGACACCATTTAAAAATGCAGTCTTAACATCCATTTGATGGATCACAAGATCATGAATGGCTGCTAAACCAATCAAGAACCTTATAGAAGAGATTCTGACAACAGGAGCATATGTATCAAAATAATCAATGCCTTCCCTTTGTCTAAAACCTTGTATAACCAATCGAGCTTTGAACTTATCGATTGCACCACCGATCAACATTTTCTTTGTGAAAATCCACTTGCAGCCTAAAGCTTTGCAACCAGGTGGGAGATCAGTCAGGAAATATGTATTGCTTCCTACTATAGAGTCCATCTCATCATTTACAGCTTCTTTCCAGAAAGCAGCATCAATGGAAGCCATAGCTTCACTGAATGTCCTAGGTTCATCACCAACTAGGTAACAATATGAGTATTGTAGAACAATCTCATCTCTTGAACCTTCTACCAAATAAATTTGGAATTCAGGACCAAATGATTTCTCAATCCTTCCTCTCTTACTTCTACGAAGTACAGGTGACTCGCTGGTTGTTGGAACACAAGCCGAGATGTTGGAACGTACGTTTGTACCATCTCCTTGTCCAGTTCCAAACGAAACCAGATCCTTTGGTCTAGGTATTGATGTGAAACGATTCTCATCAAATATTGCATCTCTTGACTCAATCACAGTGTGAACTGCTATAGAATCATTAGGTTCAATGACATAGAACCTATAAGCCTTGGAATGCTCAGCATAACCAATAAAGATGCAATCAATACCTCTTTCTCCCAAAGTTCTTATCTTTGGTTGGGGTAGTCTTACTACAGCCCTGCAGCCCCAAACTCGAAGGTAGTTCAAGTTAGACTTCTTTTTGTACCAAAGTTCATATGGGGTTATCTTGTTCCTTTTGTTAGGAACTCTGTTCAACAAGTAACATGCTGTTAACATGCCCTCACCCCAGAAACCGTCACTCAATCCAGAGTAGGATAACATGGAATTAACCATTTCTTTAAGGACTCTGTTCTTCCTCTCAGATACACCATTTTGTTGTGGTGTATAAGGAGCTGTGACCTCATGTATTATACCCACAGACTGAAAGTAAGCAGGATCATAATACTCACCACCTCTATCGGTGCGTAACTTCTTAATCAAGTTACTTTGTTGCAATTCAACCTCAGTTTTGTAAACCTTGAATTTCTCTAAGGCCTCATCCTTAGAGTGCAACAAATATACAGAACAATATCTGGAATAATCATCAATGAATGTGACAAAATATTTCTTATTCCCCAGAGATGGTGTAGCATGCAAATCACATAAATCACTATGAATCAGTCCAAGGACTTCCGATACCCTAACAATGCTATCAAATTTCTTCCTAGTTATCTTAGTCAACATACATGTTCTGCATTTCTCTACATTCATGTCAAAACCAGGAATTAAACCTTCCTTCGACATTTCAAGCATCCTAGCATAATGTACATGGCCTAATCTCATATGCCATAAGAAACTATCATTTCCGACTGTTGTTGGAACAGCGGATCAGTGTTGGAACATGTCATATAACTAGAATTGATAACTTTATTAATATTAAGCATAAACATGCCATTACAAAAGTATCCAAATCCAACAAAGAGACCACGTTTGGACAGTACATATTTATCAGACTCATACACTTGTTTATATCCAGACTTGTTTAAAACACTTCCAGAAACTAAGTTTTTCCTAATTCTGGGTACATGAATAACATCATCAAGATGAAGAGATTTCCCAGAACTAAACTCCAGCACCACTTTTCCACGACCAAGGATAGGAGCAGTTGACTCGTTGCCCATATAAAGAACAGATCCATCTTGCACTGCTTCATAAGCTTGAACCAGCCACGATCTTTGCAAACATGTGTTGTTGCACCCGAGTCAATCCACCACGACACATCATCATCCTGCACATAACATGCCTCAGATATCTTTGATACATAATACACTTTAGGGAATGTATCAATCTCAGAAATCTGACCTTGATGTGGTGATTGGCCTTGGTCCTTAGACCCTTGCCCAAAACGCTTCTGAGGCGCTTATCCTTATCCTTTCCAGCCCTACAATCACTCTTGAAGTGACCAGGCTTGTTACAATTCCAACAGACAGGCTTAGACCTCTTGTTGGATCGATTGTGAGTGTTGCTGTTAAAGGGACGCTTCTTCCCTTTATTCTTCCACTTAGAATCATCACTTCCTCCATCATGTTGATAGAAGAAGCCTCAGCCACTTTGGGTTTTCCACCCTCTTGCATTCTCAGAGAATCCTCTATGCGCAAGTGGCTGCCAAGTTGTACCAAAGACAACTCTTCCTTCTGGTGCTTTAAAGTTCGCCTGAAATCCTTCCAGGAAGGAGGCAACTTGTCAATGATACTTGACACAGAGATGGACTCATCCATCTTCATATCATACTGAGCAAATTGGCCCAATATGCGAAGCAATTCATTGTATTGCTCCATCACTGGTCTTGTATCAGACATCTTGTAATTGTTGAAATTACTCACAAGGAACTTCTTACTAGAAGCATCCTCTGCCATGTACTTTGCTTCCAACGCATCCCACAACTCCTTTGCGGATTGGACATTTTGATAGACATCAAACAGAGAATCAGACATACCGTTGAGAATGTGCCATGACAGATGTAGTCATCATTCTTCCATTTGAGTTGTCTCCTTGCTTGCTCTGCATACTCCTCACTCGCTGGATCTACCGTCACAAGAGGCATCGGCATGCTTAGAACATGAACAACATTGAGTGTTGTGAGAAGAAAGTGCATCTTCTTCTGCCATCTTCTGAAATCGACCCTTCAAACTTGTCTAACTTCCCAAAGTTGGTTGTCATCTCACGCACAGAAACACCAGCCATCGTTCTCAGAAAATACTCTTTAAGATTGTTGGTTTATTTCCTCTGTTTCGTGGTGTTGGAACAGAGCGCAGGGTGTTGGAACAATGAAAACTGTGTTTCAGAGAGAAAAGTTTGGGTATCTTGGATTGTGATTGAATCCTGTACGAAGCAGTTTCCTTAAAGAGTATTTCGACCCTATACAGCCTTGGGTTACACGAAATCCCTCGCAGGATAAGACAATCACGTCCACTCTTTGTCTAGGCTTAAGATCAAAGAGTAACAAGAAGAGATCTTGTGTGTGTTTACTTTGGTTGCTTTTGTGAATCAGATCTATCTCTGTAGATCTCGAATTTCTTCTTATTCTGTCTCAGAGAGACAACAGAACTTATAAAGTTCTCATAAGGCCTCAACGAAACGTTTGCAACCGTTCGTTTAATGATTGAACCAAAGTAACTGTTCGCAACATGTTGGAACACTTGGTCATGTTGTAACACCTTATTCACTTAAATATCCAATAAATTCTCGATTAGATCGGATTGGTTAGATTGAGCTGCCAACTTAAATTATTTTGTCTACAATAAAGAAAACATTGTTGTCCGGATGAAGTCTAACATAATAGAAAGAAGCTATAATTAACAAACTAGTACTACTAGACTATTAGTGTGTCTTTAGGAGATCCAAATTACAATAAAGTTTAAACTCGTGTTTGCCATTCTACCTACTCCCTATGTTTCATTGATGTTTTAGAAAAAAAATTTGTCACATAAAACTCGATGTTTTAGCATTATTTAATACACTTTTTATTGGAAATAGTTTAACTTTTAGGTGAGAGAAATTAGAGGGAGCAGATGATTGGATCATTTAAAAAATCAAGTGTTTTTTAATAATCAAAAGGAAAATAATAAATATATACAAAAGTGTTTTTTAATATCTGTGTTTTGTCTAAAATATCAAGTTTTCTAAAACAGAGTGAGTATATCAAATAAAAACACACACCCTATTCATATTTCAAGTTGGTTATGCTCCGGATTCACAACGACCGGTGGTTTGATTTACAACTGAAAAAAAAAATTATTTTATATGAAAAT